ACTTTTTTCTATGTTTCGCCCGCGCCGCTGACAACCTTGAGAGCCTGGTTGCAGGTCAAGTTTGAGGCTCTTCTGCAAACTGCCACAGAAGCAGAACCAGCCGCAGATTTGTTGCTGAATGTTGCTGCTGGCAACGTTGGCCTCATCACGTTCTTCGGCGACAAACTTGAGCAACACCACTGCAGAGACCTCTTATCGGTTCGCGAGAAGCTGAGAGAATTGCTTTCTGACTACAAAGACGTTTACGTTCGAACTTTTGGTGTGGAGAATGGGAAGCCAGATGCCGTCCAAACTTTGCTGATCTCTGCGCTGCGGTGCTGTGGTAGCTTGACCAAGACAAGTGCAACCGGTCAGAAGTTGCCATTGTGGGATGCAGAAGATGCTTCCCATCGACGTGGCCTGTCCAAAGCATACTACGCAGCGTTTGCCCCTGGAACAGACCTTTCACGTTGCTTGGTTCAAGTGTGCACAGAAGCGACCATTTCCTTTGTGCACCCCTTGCAGCCGGAGATCTACGCGTCCAAGTTCAAATTTTCTTGGACGGACATTGGGCTTCAGGATCGCTGGATCACCAACTTTGCTTGCAGTGACTCGGAACCAGCTGAGACTCCAAAGACGGTTCTGGATTTGGTCCTGTCGTGGCTTTCGCATGTAGAGATCCACGTGTTGTTGTTGATCCACAACAACATCGTGGATGCTCCGGAAAAGGAATTCCAAACGTCATTCTACCTGTTCTGCAAGGATATTTTGAAGCTCAGCCCAGTGGAACGTGAAAAGAAGACCCGGGGAGGATTTGTCGATATGTTCATTGAAGGGAACATGGGCATCGAACTCCTCATCCGTGCCAGCCGGGGCAATCTGATGACTGCGGAAGGTCTTTTGACAAACTCTGCAACACGAGGCTCTTTGATTGAGCATGCAGAACGGGCAAAGGGCAAGTACAACGAAATAGCCCAGAATTGTGCCAAAGGCTACATCACAGTGCTCCCGGCGACACTGGTGGACACCACTCCAGATCAAGAGTGGGTGAACTTTCAGGCGCTGGCCACGAATGAACTCGCGCAAGTTGGATACCCTGTCGTAGTGGCCGTCGCTCCCTTCGGCTGGGCTGAGTGGGATGTTTTCATCCACCGCCCTTGCCAGGATCCCATGAGAGTGCAAGTTCCACGGCAACAGCTGATGCTCAAGCTCAGCGACGGGGCGGTTGTGAGCGCCAGGCAGTTTTACCCCAAGCCCGAGGAGGTTTGGGTGCAGCAGTTGACTCGAAAGATGAAGCTGACGGGCAGGGCCTTCAAAATCAAGCCCGCTCCGGATGATGTCGCAGAGCTGGCAGACGCCATCGTAGAGAAAAGGCCTCGCCTGAATTGTGACGCAGCTGAGCTGGCAATCTACCGCCAGGACTGGAAAGGTGAGTGGGAGGAGGCAGAAGAGGATTCCGTCCTCTTTGAGAATACGAAGAAGAGGCCCTACGGCTTCCTCACTCCAGGTTGACGCCCTTTGTCCAAGATGGAACAAGTTCCTCTTGGAAGCCAGGGTCTTCTTGTTTCACCGATGCACGAGTACAGATGCCTGTGCGCAGAGTCACGACAGGGTTGTGCGACAGAAGTCCAGACATTCAAAGATGCAAACCACTCCGAGTATGGTACTTCGCCCAAGTGCTACGCCTCTCTGACAGTGCGAGGCCTGGCCTGGGAATGTTGAGGGGCAGATTTTGCGCGGTCCTCAGGTTCCAAAGCAAACAAGAGCATTGATTTTCGTTCATACTCGAAGTGGCTCCCTTTCGGACAACTGATGTTCAAGAGCATCGATTTTCTTTTCGGGATGTTGCCACTGTTGTTGGCACATACACGAAAACAGACGCTTAGTGGTGCATGGTTGATCTACGGCTCGCAGGAATCGTTCGAAGTTGCAAGTACTGTTCAGGCATTAAGTTGCAACAGTTCAACCATGCCTAATCACGTTTTGCAGGCTGTCCCTGTCATGGTCCAGCGTTGCGAGCTTTTGCTCCATCTGCCGGTCGCTCGCCCCTTGTTCCTAAGGTGTACGGCCGTTTCGGGGGCGGCACGCCGATGCACTCCTGGGGGGGACCATACCATGGGGGGGGCAGGGGGTTGAGAAGTGG